CAGATCTCTTTCCTTGGCTTGTAGACGGCCGTCTTCTGTTTTTCTGTTCACATTGTCTTTCCTCTAACCATGTCTGTATATTCAAATTTCCCCTTTTTATGAGAAGAAGAGTCATATTGGTTTAGACCCCACCCTAATGATATTTTAACTTGATTTCCTCTGTAAAAGCCCTCTCTCCAAATAGTGTCACATTCTTAGGTACTGCAGGTTAGGACTTCTACACATGAATTTTAGAGGGACACAATTCAACCCATAACAGAGGGTTGTAGACTACAGTACTTCCTTTAATGGCAACTGGAGTTTGAGGCTGAGAGGGATGGCAGGTTCATGACTGCATGTGTTTTAAAGGAACAAGTGCTAAGAGACACTTAGCTAGCAGGTGGTAGATCCAGAATGCAAACTCTTTCACCTAAAACAGGTTTGCTTATTTCCATGTTTGAATTTTTACATATTGTGGGAAAATGCAACACTTTGAATATATAGGATTTTAAAACATATATGTCTAGGGAACTTTTCCCGATTTTTTACATAATCTGTGCACAAAGCATTTCATAGTAAAATATACTTAGGAAATGCTTCAGACATGCTTTGCTTTCTTGGAATGTTATTAAGGCACAGTGATACATTAGAGGCTCTGATAAATCTTTCAGTGAAGTGACATCTTTAATCCAATATTTCTTTCTTTTTTTTTTTCTGAGACAGAGTCTTGCTCTGTTGCCCAGGTTGGACTGCAGTGGAGAGATCTTGGCTCACTGCAACCTCTGTCTCCTGGGTTCAAGTGATTCTCCTCCCTCAGCTTCCTGAGTAACGGGATTACCGGCGCGCACCACCATGCCTGGCTAATTTTTGTATTTCTAGTAGAGATGGGGTTTCACTTTGTTTCTCGGGCTAGTTTCAAACTCCTGACCTCATACTCTGCCTGCCTGGGCTTCCCAAAGTGCTGGAATTACAGGTATGAACCACTGTGCCTGGCCCAATATTTCTTGAATTTATTTATTTTTTTACGAAGGAGTCCCCTCTTGGTGTTAACATGCTGTATCATTTGTCATTTATTATGTAATTTATTAACTTATTGTATCATTTGGTCAGATAGGTTTGGGAAATGCTAGGGTTTCTTCTGTGAGTGGGAGAGAGATGCTATTCCTGGTGACCACCTTTCTGTTTTTCCTCCACTTATAAGAGGGTAATTACCTCTTTATATCTCTCACTTCCTGTTTACATGTCACATTTAGGTTTTGTATGAATATCAAAAGCCCTGACTATGGTTAATAGTTTGGGCTGCTGTCAGGAAAGATGAGAAGGTGGCTGTGTTTACTGGTGTAAGTTTGTTTACGTGGAGCTTTACCGGAAATTTGCAAAGAAAACCTCCCTCATTCCACTGCTCTTAGAAACACTACAAAGCAAACATAAGATCTTTTCTGGGTCTCTGAGTGCCTCAGCGATGATTTGAACAGTAGTCATGCATCTGTTGCAAGCTTTTCTTTGTTAAGATCCCAATTTTAAGAGCATCAACAGTATAAAGTATCACACTTGAGTGGGAGGCTGATTTTAAAATGGCAGATGAGGTAATAAGATCAGATTGATGTTAATTCCCTTACTGCGAATCCCACAGACTTTTGTGAGAACTGAGACCAGACTTACTCTAAGGCAGCTGCTGCTTCCCACGTCCCTCCCACTTGGAACTGAGGAGGCAAATTGCTTGGGGAAACCCCTAGTCACGCATCTGTAGCCTCCCTAGAGATGGATAGAGCAACGTGTAGGGGAATGCTATTAGGAAGCAAGTGAGTCACCGCATTTTGGCATCATAACTCATCACTGTCTGTGGCAGAGCAGCACTAGTCATTTTCCTTAAGCAACAGCTGGACATGACTGTGTCAAGTTACCCATGGGATAACAAGAAGGCTGAGGAAAGAACACGAATTCCCTGACCTTCATTCCAGGAGCTCAATTTGTCTTTGTTTTAGCTTCAGAAGTACAGCTCTAACTAAAACCTCCCTCAAGGAGACGAGGCCTGGTCTAAAGGACCCGGGAAAGCCTATACTGGGTAGCCAGTTGAGAAGTTTAGGGAAGCTCCGGGGTGAGTTTGATGCCAAGAAACAGATGTGAACTTGAATGAGCAGCCCTAAAGTGTTCTCTCAGGAAACATTCTCTGAAGTCCATGTGGCTCCTACAGTTCTGAGGTTCTTTATCTCAGAAATGTGTCAAGCACTCTGCTAACAGCTTTACCTGCACATGTTTTTTAATCTGTAAAATAACTCTATGATACATGTTCTGTAATTATCCTTATTTTATAGGTGTTGAAAGAGGTTCATAAAGGTAAAACCACCTGCCCAAGATCACGCATCACCAGGGTTCACACCCGGATCTATCTTACAACTGAACCCCTACTTTGCACCACCATGCTGCCTAACTTTGTGAGGGCATGCAGCATGTTATAAGTGGAAATGCGCTTTCACAATCATCTCCCTCCATCTCTACTATAATTGTGTTAGGTAAGTTGAGCAGGTATGATTATTCCCTTAGTGCAGAAGAGGAAACTGAGGCACAGAGAGGTGAAGTGACTTGTCCAAGGTCCTGTAGTGATAGGTGGTAGCATCAAGGGCCCAAGTCATATCTTCTCTAAGTCCAGTTTCTTCCCACCCCATGTTGCTCTTTGAGGTTTGCTGTTTTACTGCCCCTGCTTCTCTAGCCTGAATGTGTGGTCAGGGTTTGTGGCGAATGTGAAATTGAGTCAGAACCCAGTTAATTACGGAGAGTACATCATAATGCTCTTAGGATGAATAATTATCATTATAACAACAAAGTCTTTTAAACACAAGACTCACCTAAAAACTTCCCATGCACAAAATCTGTAGTTTAGTTGGAAACATAATTGTTCCATTGACCTATTTCTTAATGCTCCTCATTATAAATAACAAACTTGAAAAAACTTCCCATGAACAAAATCTATAGTTTAGTTTGAAATATAATTGTTTCATAGACCTGTTTCTTAATTCTCCTCCTTATAAATAACAGGCAAATTTGACGTAATAAAACTTTGAAAAAACTCTAAGTTGCCTAAACAAAATCAGTTAAAAAAAAGTAAAGTTTTTGCTTGATGATTGCTTAAGGAGCCTGAGGATATGAAAAAGGTAGAGGTGGAGGAAACAAGAGCTGGGAGTTAAAAGGGGATGTTCAGTGAGGAAGAAAAAAACAATGAATTGTAGTACTTTGAGTTAAGAACCACCGAAATGAAGTAGTATAAATTGCTCATTAAAAGAATCCTTTGTGAATGAAACTTTTGAGATTTAAAATAAAATATATGAAAATTCAGACAGATTACATCCTGATCAAGGTGCTCATTTTGCTCTTGATTTTTATCAAATTATTAAAAATTATTTATAGATGACATTAAGATTTGTGAGATTTGATTCAAAATAATCCAGTGGCAGGATAAGTCAACACGATTGGCCCCTTGTTAATAATTGTTGACACTGGCTGATGGGTACATGGGAGTTCATTATCATAGTCTCTCTAGTTTTGTTATTTGCTTAAACATTTCTATAGTACAAAGTATTTTTTTTTGTAAAGAAACTTTACTTCTTGTAGCCACCTAGTGCCCTCTATCAGTCGTCTATGGGAACTGTCCTTTAAAAGAGGAAAACTTACTGAATCCTACGTATGATACACAGTAACTAAGAAGCGAAACTCTTGGCTACTCAGTTACTTCGAAGGACCAAACTATGGGCAGTTGACGGGCCTGCTTCTACTTTTGAGTCAGAAGGTTTCGTATAGGTATGAAATATGAACTTTTCATGTCTCAGTCAGGTAGTCATCTATAGAAATGAATAGCATACCCAAGCTTTTTTTTTTTTTTTGAGAGATCTTAGAAAATCAGCAGTTTGGAGGGTCACAGTAATTCTATTATAACTTCTGACAATAGAAAATAACATTTTTATGAAATCACCTCTGCACTAATGTGTTTCTTAGCTTACTTAGAATCTGTAACAATGATAGCTTCTGGAGTTCAGAGCCTCATGGGCTGAACTTTTGTTGTCTATGATCCCTCGTTGATTTGATCCTCTTCTGCCCAAATAGCCAACTTGCAGATTAAGCACCATTTTAACCAGGAAAGGAATGGAAAGATAACCACTGAGTGTCTGTTTTCTCCTGCTTTGTAACATTTTCTCATGTAATCCTCACAAACACTCTGTAACGTTGGTATTGATATTAGTGTGCTGGGGTTGCCATAACAAAGTACCACAGACTGGGTGGCTTCTGCAACAGAAATTTATTTCCTCATAGTTCTGGAGGCTGGAAGTTCAAGATCAAGCTATTGGCAGGATTGGTTTCTTCTGAAGGCCTTTCTCCGTGGCCTGTAAATGGCCATTTTCCCCATCTGTCTTCGCATGGTCTTCCCTCTATGTGTTTCTGTGTTCTAATCTCTTTTTCCTAAAAGGACACCAGTCCTATTGGATTAGGGCCCACCTCAGTGATCTCATTTCATCTTAATTACCTCTTTAGAGGTCACATTCAGAGCTACTGAGGGTTAGGGCCTTAATATAAGAATTTTGGGGGGGACACAATTCAGCCCATAACAATATTATCAGTATCCCGCCCCCTTTTTTTTTTGCCAGTGATAGACTGACGACTTGGAGAATTTCAGTATCCACCCCCAAATCTCATAACATGGAAGTGGCACAGTCTGGATTTGAGTCTGGATTACTCTCACACTCTCTTCTCTCCCACGCTGCATGCTGGTGTCCTGTTTACCCCTTCCTGCATACTAGGAGACACTTGGTGTCTCTGACCTCCTCTAGGTGGAGCTGAACAGCACTCCTCAGTCCTCTGCTGCTTTGAGAACAAAGATTTTTGTTGTTGCTTTTATTTTAGTAGTAAAGTAAGGTTTTAAACTTAAACATTTACCTTCAGTTTTATTTATTTCAGTAATAACTGAAATACAAACTGAAGGTTTGTACTGCTCATTTCTCCAGGGAAATAGACAAGGGCTAACACAAATACTAAAGCACTGAGACATTTTCGTCCTGATTTCCTTGTCTGTTGCCTGGGTTGCCCGTCTTGGCTGGCTCTTCAGGAGCCCTGAACCTTTTTATCTTCTACTTTTATCCTATAGATAAGCTGTTTCTCAGTTTTCTCCTCCTTTCATTTGCCCTATTTGTCCATCACCCCATCTTCCTCTGATACTTTCCTTCAGGAATATGTCTAGAGTCAATTCCTTACTGAGTTTAGAAGGCTCACTTTGAGCAGATCAGCAGTGGTGAATCAGTAGGTGATTCAAAAGACTCCCAAACTATAATTTACATCTTAGGAAAAGCCTAAATAGGTGGCTTTCATTTTTCACAAAATTTTTTCTTACCTGTTGATAATAATACTAACAATGAATCTGCCTGTTCAAGGTGGCTGACAGAGCATACCTGTTCAATATTGTCCCCCCTTCCCAAATTCTGTGTGAATGAATGAAAATAGAAATATTGAACATAATAACATATTTCTACTTTAACATACACTCATTTGATTTTTACAACAAATCTGAGAGTTAGGCAGTGATGGCTACCTTTTAGCTGAGGAAGCTAAGTCTCAGAGAGAGACTAGCTTGCCCAGAGCAAACAGCCAATCAGTGGAGGAGCTGGCACTGCAACCCAGTTGTCCAGAATTGCCTCATTCAGAGCTGTAGTTTGTTGAGGTTATTTTACTGTGCAAATCCAACCATCCAACCAGGCAGGCTCAGTTTCTAATTGCCTTAGAATTGCTTAGATGGTGAAGCAACTTTGTATCTGATTTAAAATTCAAAGGTCTGCTTTATTTGCATTAGATCTCAATTTACAGCATAGGCTGTAACTGGTCTTACCATCCATTCCTCCTGTTACACAGGCCCTCTCCAGAGTATCAGAATTTTCGTTGGTGTCTGGGTGAGGGTGATGCCTGAGGTTCACTGAGTTGGCTCTCTTAGGTAGCTCTCTATTGCATTTAGTATTATGACAGTATCTATGTTTTGGTTTGGTGGATAAAATCGTAATGCTATTTGATACATGGTTTCTTAAAACTTTTTACCTTATTGGTATCTACACGAAAGCAATGCCAAGTGTCTGGTTTCTAAAAGTGATGAGCAGAAACAGATGAGGCAGGTGTCTGTAGAGACTTTGTCTTGTCTCTGAGTTCAAAAAGATTTGAGAACCATGGTTTCAGATCATCCTAAATAAAATACAAGATTCCAGAGCATTTGTGTAAAGAGGAAATTCACCCAATCCATGGCTTTATTGACATCATTAGGCAAACGCTTATTGACCAAAACCTGTTTAGGAGAAAACTGAGCATAAATCCTTATACTGGCCAAGACAAACAACTTTTAGCTGTACACAGCAGATGGATATCAGAGTGAATTCTACAAATAAAACCAAATCAAGCCAAACAAACAAAACACCAGGACCTAAATCTGAGAATTTGAGCACTGTCAGATAAGGTGGTAAGCTGCAAGATATATCTGATAACTAAAGGATTTGAATATACTGACATTTAAAGATAATAATTTTGCTTATTTCTTATTTGATTGCATTTATTGTAGAATTTGGGAATAAACTACTTGTTATTTTACTCTATGGACATATTGACTGCTATTTTTTGGTTACATTCTCTGTCATCCTCTGTATCTTGTTCACTGATTGTGTATAGACAGTACATATTTGCACACGTACCATGTGTTCCACATATACACATACACTGTGTAGTTAGTGGCTATCACACATGCATACACACACATACACACATCAGGATTACATTGCACATGCTATATTGTAAGCTTTTTCCCCTTAAATACATAATAAATTTACTTCCATGGCAACAAATAGACTTAAACATTAAAAAGTACCTTATTTTCAAGGCCAATTTGTAGGCACACAGGCTACTATAGAAGATGAGGCCCATATTACAACTGAATTTCCACCCAGCCAGCAATATCCATTGCTTCTATACATTGGATTTAATTTTTTATACAGTTTATCCTTTACAGATTGGCGTTCAGAGTTTAGGTAGCTGGTTGATAGAGAAGTATAGGCATGCCTTGTTTAGATATGGGATGAATTTCTGAATCTGAGAGACCAACCAAATGAGCCAGATGAGCAAGAGGTGGTGTCAGCAGAACATAACCTCTCTGAAGGCGCTTTTCTGCAATTGAGCTCATAACTACTTTGAATTCTTTTAAAATCTCCTAAATTTAGGAGATGCCTCAGGCCATTTTTTAGGCTAGGATTCCCTCAATTGTGGTCATTTTTCCCAAGCTGCAGTGGTAATTCCCTGGCTGCTTTTGACAGGCACCCTGTGTCCCTTGCCATTTCTCTGAAGGCATCTTGAGCTGTTTTAAAAGTAGTGTTTTAATGCTCAGTGTGATAATCTTCCTCGCCACTTTTGAGTCATTTTCAGCACAATTACTTGCAAACTTTTTGTTATCCGTCACGAGTCAAAAACCTTCACTGGAACATGGCATGAGGGCAGGAAGAGATAAAGTGACCAAAGATTCTGGTGTAACAAGGGTAGTATTGGTAGGAGTGGTCCACTGTGGGTGCAAGCAATGAGTGGGCACATTGTCTGTAAAGAGCTTAAAAACAGTAATCAGACAAAAAATTGGTCTGCTTTGTTATCATTGAGCACCAGCAATTCTAAATGATGTCAGTGATAAAAATCTTCTCTGTACCTCAGCTGACTGTTCCCATCTGGTGCTGCTCTGGGAACACCACTGCTGAGCAAACACTTCCAGGTTCTGTCCACAGTGAAGGAAGCACAGTTGAGTTCATTAGTACTTTCTGGCTGAGAGCATTAAAATACCATACACTAGATCTGCATTGTCAAATAAGGTAGCCACTAGCCACATGTGACTGTTTACAATGATATCAATGAAAATAAAATAATATTAAAAATTCACTTCCTCAGACACACTTTAAGAGTTCATTAGTGCTATGTAAGTAGTGGCTACCATATTAGACAGTGTAGACATAGAATATTATCTTCATTAATGAGAACTCTAGGAGACAGTGTTGCTTTAGACTCTACCAGCAGTCTGGCCATAAGAAAAACATATATTAAATTCACTGCACAGATGTACTGTATATAGTAAACATTATTGTATGCATTATATATATATATGGTCATAATATTTATGAGAATAAATAGTGGCATAACAAGTCAGCATTTTATGGCACAGCATTAAATGAGATAGTGTCTCTGCCCATAAAAGTTTGAGAGTAGTTTAGCTCAACGTTAATATTAAATGCCCACTATGTGCCAGATACTAGGCTTAGTATTGGAGATAGCAGAGTGATTAACTGAATGCCTGCATAGGAGTAGTTTAGATCTAGTAGGGGAAACACACAGGTAAACAAATATTACACTGCAGTGAGATAGTTACAATAATTGAAATGTGTTTATAGTATGTGGTCAGTACAAAGGAACGCTTAATAAGCTACCTCTACCTTGAAGGTGGAAGTTGGTATTTGAAGTATGTGTGAGCAAGGGCAGTATGGCAATGTAATTGGGGAAATGAAGACCTAGGGTGATTTACTTACAAGGACCAATTCAGCCCAGGCTACTGTAAAAAGGAATACACAAGGTGGTTTCTGGGCTCAAGGAAAAGGGGTGAGCTGTACTATAAGCACTGATGTTGTTGACCTGGAGGATGAGTTAGGTTGTCAGGATTAGAAATGTCAGCTGAGATAATGTCATAGAATCATAATGTCATAGAATCACAGAAGTTATTGTATGAAGATTGAATCTTGAATAATAAGTATGAAATGAATTGGGGATAATGGCCGGCTAAGTTTGGGAAGTGGGGAGGAAGTAATAAAGGACAAAGTATCGCAGGAAAAAACAAAGAAGCATTTGACCCAATGTTGAGTCCCATCTAGAATAACATTTGTGCTTTTTGCCATAATTAAACCAGCAGAGTAACTGGAGCTCCCGAGGGGGAGTAGCTTTGTCAAACCCCTGCCTTCTAGGGACACTGGTGCCTTTAAAACACCTGTAAATATAAATGGTACTTACTGTAGTGGGCCTCAAAATTTAGTGAGCATAAGAATCACTGAAGGAGCTTGTTAGAAGAGATTTTTCTGGGCAAGTCCCCACTCCACTCAAGTAGGTTTGGGATGAGGCCAATAATTTGCATTTTTAACAACCATCCCAGGTGTTTCTTATGAAAGTGGCCCCACTGACCACAGTTGGAGAAATACTAGTTTATTAGAACAATGAAATGGGAAAGAAAGAAGTCAGGCCACAGGAAGACTTCCTAGTCACTTCCCTTTCAAATGAAGAAAAGAAATATGCAAAGTGAATATTAGTTTTGATTTCCAGAGAAATTTTCATCTAATGCAAATGGTAAATGGATTCCAGACATTGGCTATCACATGTGGAAATGAGCTGACCCCATTAAGAATAGTAAGAGGGAAATAATTTGCTTGCACTTTAAGATTTATTTAATTTGCAACATATGTTTATTAACAATAATTTGTTTATTTCTTTAAATTGGAGACAAGGCTAGGGTTTGTCTAGCCACAGCTCTGGGTGAAATTCTAAGCAGACACTTAGTGAAAATTAGGTCTTCATTGTAGACAGCATGCTGCCTCTCCATCAGTTCTCAAAGACCCTTTTTAAGTTCCTCTGAGGAATGTTTCTCACTTGAGATAAAGGGGAAGCTCAATATCCTCCTAGGTCACCATTATTGATCTGCCCTAAACTTTCTTTTTTAGCAAAATGAAGGGCTCTGCATCAAGGGATCTTCATGAAGGAAGAGCTCCTCTCAGCAAGCAGGGCACAAGGTGGCTGATGTGGTTGATGTTCTGTATCCTTGGGGATAAAAGAGAGGAGAAAGGGTAATAGGGCTTCTTGGAACAGAAGAGAGGCAAAGCCTAGGAGAATGTGGTAAGGTGTTTTGAACCTCTGGGGCTTCCATATGTTTGATCTGGGCATTCTTTATAACTATTTAATTTAGTTATAAAGTCCTTAAATAAGTACTCTGTGGTCCTTATTGGATGGATGGCTGGGCAAGGGTGGCCTGAGGAAAGGGAAGTCTTGGAGAGAATGCTAAGGAAGGAAATCCATAAAAGAGGGAGGAGAACAACGTGACCTTTCAGAAGCCTGCTGGAAAGGAAGCCTGATGGAAGGTGTCTAGAGATAAGACATTGACTCAGAAAAGGTAAAGCAGTGAAATGCCTTTTGTAAATGCTGAGAATCTCACGGAGGCTCATTGCTATTTCCCTGATATAATAAAAGTCCATCTTCCTCATTTGCCTGGGACCACTCTATGTCTGAGCTCTCTCCTCCTGGACAGGAAGTAACTACCTAGTCATTCTGGGGACTTGATGACATTGCTACCAAGTGGGCCTCCTAACTACCACTGAGCTGGTGAGGCAAAAACTTTCTGGGTGATGGTAACCTTGAGGTTTGGCTAGGGTCACCCTCCCATGACCCAGCGTAGGATTGTCTGGAGGCTGAGGCAGAGGGACAAACTAGGAAATTCAGGGCTGACTAGAAGGAAGCACAATGAATAGAGGGTGGAAGGGGCAGAGGTGACCAAGAAATGGGAAGAGTCTAGCTTGGGATACCTGTTCTCAAAGGATCACCATTGAGTCACTTCTTTCCCCAACCTGCAGTGTTGCAGATAAGCCGTCTGACTCATGATGTGAAAACCAGTATCCTTCACCTGCATGACCAACAGCAACAACAGAGGCCACTGGCCCTGCAGGACCACTGCTGAGGCAGTGTATCTTCTCTGAGTTTTTAATTTGAGGAAACTCTATAGAACAAAACAAAAACTCTAAACAAGTGCTATATATATCCCCGTGGAAACACTCTCAGAATCTAAAACAGTGGTTTTCAAAGCATGTTTTAAAGTGGTTTTCCGGGATCGGCAGTATTAGTATCACTTGGGAAACTGTTAGAATTGCAAATCCTGAGGTTCCATCCCCTACCTACTACATCAGTCTCTCTGGATCTTAGCTGAGAGCATTAGCCATCTGAAGACAACGTTTTCCCAAAAGGTCTGTAATTCCTGCCCCTTAGCTCTAACTAGGTTACTGTTTTGAAATTTTTAGGAATTTTAGGAAAATGTTTTGGGCATGGCTCCCGCCTCTCACTTGGAACACACAAAGGAGTATCTAGTACATAGAACAAACTCAATAGTTCTGTCTCTTCACCCATGGCATGAGCTGTTAGTAATATATACATATTTTTTTCTTTTCTTTTTTTTTTTTGAGATGGAGTCTTACTCTGTTGCCCAGGTTGGAGTGCACTGGTGCCATCTTAGCTCACTGCAACCTCCACCTCCCAGGTTCAAGCAATTGTCCTGCCTCAGCCTCCCAGGCAGCTTTGATTACAGGTGCCTGCCACCATGCCCAGCTAAGGTTTTTTTTTTTTTTTTTTTTTTGTATTTTTAGTAGAGACGGGGTTTCACCATGTTGTCCAGGCTGGTCTCAAACTCCTGACCTCAGGTGATCAGCCCGCCTCAGTCTCCCAAATTGTTGGGATTACAGGCATGAGTCACTGCACCTGGCCAAAAAAAGAATTTTTTTTTTCTTTTTTCTTTTTGAGATGGAATCTTGTTCTGTCACTTAGGCTGGAGTACAATGGTGCGACCTCGGCTCACTGCAATATCTGCCTCTTAGGTTCAGGCGATTCTCCTGCCTCAGCCTCCCGAGTAGCAGGGATTACAGGTGCACACCACCACACCCAACTGATTTTTGTATTTTTAGTAGAGATGGGGTTTCACCATGTTGGTCAGGCTGGTCTTGAACTCCTGACCTCGGGTGATTTGCCTGTCTCGGCCTCCCAAAGTGCTAGGATGACAGGTGTGAGCCACTGTGACTGGGCCCCAAAAAATTTTTTTTATTGCCGGGAGCGGTGGCTCACGCCTGTAATCCCAGTACTTTGGGAGGCCAAGGCGGGTGGATCACGAGGTCAGGAGATCGAGACCATCCTGGTCAACACGGTGAAACCCCGTCTCTACTAAAACTACAAAAAATTAGCTGGGCATGGTGGCGCGTGCCTGTAGTCCCAGCTACTCAGGAGGCTGAGGCAGGAGAATTGCCTGAACCCAGGAGGTGGAGGTTGCGGTGAGCCGAGATTGTGCCATTGCACTCCAGCCTGGGTAACAAGAGCGAAACTCCGTCTCAAAAAAAAAAAAAAAAAAAAAAATTTATTAGCATGGAAAATCCATAGCAAATTGTAAAGCTTCAGATGCCATGTTGAGACTGACGTCTTGCAAAATGCGTATGCTTGCAGGATGTACAGATATCTTTGTAAAATTCATGGAAAGAGAAAGAGAAAACAAGGCAGACAGGTACAGGCTTCAGAGAGGCAGCGACACCTGCTGTTCAGCCTGTGTGCCTTCCTGACAGGTGCTGCCATTACTCATCCTTAATGATGGTGGTTCTTATTTTTTATTTTATTTTTATTTTTTTGAGATGGAGTCTCACTCGGTCACCCAGGCTAGAGTGCAATGGCGCCATCTCGGCTCACTGCAACCTCCGCCTCCCGGGTTTAAGCAATTCTCCCGCCTCAGACTCCCAAGCAACTGGAATAACAGATGCATGCTTCCATGCCCAGCTAACTTTTTTTGTATTTTAGTAGAGATGAGGTTTCACTGTGTTGCCCAGGCTGGTCTGGAACTCCTGAGCTCAGGCAATTCACCCGCTTCGGCCTCCCATAGTGCTGGGATTACAGCAGTGAGCCACTGCGCCCGGCCAACGATGGTGGTTCTTACAGTGGCTCTCCGGGTAGCTCTGCCTCTGACTTCCTCGTGCACCATCATCTGCTGCTGCCTTTAGCAGCTGCCATGTTTTCTTCCTCCCCCTCCATTTCTGACTTGAGTTGAGTTCAGGTGAGGTTGCTAGGTTTACCAAATAAAAATATAGGAAGCCCAGTTAAATTTGAATTTAAGATAAACATTGAGTAATTTTTATAGCATGAGTATGTTCCACGCAATACTAGGACATAGTTATACTAAAAAAAATGGTTATTTATCTGAAATTCAAATTTAAGTAGGTGTCTTGTGTTTTATCTGGCAAGCGTACTTTAAGGAAAAGGAATTCCCATTTCCAGTTGCCTAACTCAGGAGGGACATTTTCTTTTAGAAAAAAAACAGGCATTGCCATACAAATAAGGACAGGCTTATCTACATATATCTGTGCTATCTATTAAGCTAGTCACCAGCCACCTATCGAGGACCTGAAATGGGAGTACTCTGGATTGTGTAAATTCACACTGGGCTTTAAAGAACTTGTGTGGAAAAAGACTATAAGATGTCTCAATATTTGTTTTTATATGGGCTATATGCTGAAATGATTTTGGATGTACTGGGTTAAAAGTATTATTAACTCCGTTTTCCAGCTGGAACTGTGGAGGGTGTCAAAGAGAAGAAGAAGGTTCCTGCTGTGCCAGAAACCCTTAAGAAAAAGCAAAGGAATTTGGCAGAGCTGAAGATCAAGCGCCTGAGAAAGAAGTTTGCTGAAAACATGCTTCCAAAGGCAAGGAGGAAGCTTATCTATGAAAAAGTGAAGCACTATCACGGGGAATATAGGCTGATGTACAGGATTCAAATGGTGAGGATGGCAGGAAAAGCTGACAACTTGCATGTACCTGCAGAACCCAAACTGGTGTTTGTCATCAGGATCAGAGGCATCAACTGGGTGAGCCCAAAGGTCTGAAAGGTGTTACAACTTCTTTGCCTTCATCAAATCTTTAATAGAAATTTTGTGAAGCTCAACAAGGCTTCAGTTAACATGCTGAGGATTGCAGAACCATGTATTGCATGGACATACTCAAATCTGAAGTCAGTAAATAATCTACAAGTGTGTTATAACAAAATCAATAAGAAGCTAATTGCTCTGACAGATAAGACTTTAATTGCTCGATCTCTTGGCAAATATGGCATCGTCTGCATGGAGAAATCTGATTTATGAGATCTATACTGTTGGAAAACGCTTCAAAGAAGCGTATAACTTCTTGTGGCCCTTTATATTATCCTCTCGACAAGGTGGAATGAAGAAAAAGACCACCCATTTTGTAGAAGGTGGAGATGCTGACAACAGGGAAGACCAGATCAACAGGCTTATTAGAAGAATGAACGTGCCTACCACAATTATTTTTTCTTATCTAGCCAGTTAAAAAACAGTACCTGCTCTAAAATTGCAAAAACCAGAAAACCGGAAGGTGTTATTAAGATTAATGTTGTCTGTTTCTTTTTCCTTTTTGACTGTGGCTACTAGGAAATCTAAAATGGCATAGGTAGCTTGCAGTCATAGTCCACGTTCCATTTCCACTGGACAGTGCTGGCCTGGAGCTGGAGCCAAGTCAGGGAGACATAATGACCATCAGGCCAGGAGCCGGGTGCCAGCCTTTCCAGAAAGTGTGAGATTCTCCTCATTTTAAGCTTGTGGCTTAAATGGCTGGGGGTGTAAAGATTCGTTGAATGCAATATTTATTCACGTAGTTTTCATTTTCTGTCCTGACAAAAACTTGGTGATGTTTGAATGATTACAGTACAAATAGGATTGTGGTTTATGTTTCCTATTATGTATATTTGGCAGTTGAAATGATGATAGTAGATTGGGACATGGCGGGAGAGGGCAGGATACAAGGTAGGAGGAGGGGAGCAAGTTACAAAACGCCCCATTTCCGGGATGCTGGGCTGAGTTGTCCTGTTTAACTTCCTCTTCCTTTCATCTCTATGATTTTATGATTGCAAATTGGCAGTGGCAGGGCAGTTCTGACTATATTTGCTAGAAGCAGATGTCCACATTAATTTAGACGTTTGGGGATTGAAAACCATAGAGGGTGGCACTAGGAAATATAGAAAATGCCAATGAAAATTTTTGTCAGGCAAATTAAATCTTTGCAAGTCCCCCGACTTCGGAAAACTATTTGCAGAACTGGATTACGAAAGTGGGACATCTTTTTATAACTTAAAATATTTGGGGATTTTAAGATTTAGATCTAGGACTTTTAAGTCCTGTGTTTGATCTGCCAACCCCTGCCTCTTTCTTCCATCCACTACTTAACCTCTTTTCCTGAAGTTCCCGAAAAGCAAAGAAACATTCATGAAAGGAATGCAAATAAAAATTTAAGACCTTCTAGAGGCCAAGGGCTTGGTCAATGGTAAAATAATCTGATCTTTACCAAGCTCCACTTAAAATGTGTATGCCAACCATGTCAAACTGAAGAATCAGTTCTCAGCTGTAGGATCCACCATCTGTTGATTTCCATTTTTTCTTCCTGATCTCACCACCCACTGCCTGGAATGCCACATTGCCCTTCACAGATGCCTTGCCACCTGATTCAAAGATGTGACATCCACGATCTCGGGCCAGAAAATGAGTTGCTGCCACATCTTTTATGAACTGGCAATCGAGTGGCTATTTCATCCAGCCCATCAGCCCTCCGCCCACCCTCTTGGTCTTCCACTTGGCATTACTTTCATTACCTTGAGAATTATTGTAGTACCGTGAAACACATGGCCTTTCAGTAAGAAGAGTGTTGATGGCATTGCTTGGCAGAAGGAAGTAGAGAGCAGAGGCTTAGGGGCTGTGTGCCAGATGGCATTTTAGTAGAATGAGAACATCTCACTTCTTTGAAGACTTGAGATCTCAGGTCCAAAGGAGACTGAGTGTGTAGGAGGAGAGGTAGCTACTGACTAGGAAGCTGCTGCTGGCTGCACTCCCCTCCTGATAGGGAATGCTGGATTGCCTGGAGAAGGGTCTGAGGCAATTGTATCTGGCTTGGGTACACTAACAAGTGAAGCTGGAGATTTGTAAAAGCTTGTCATCCGTTGATCATTGGTCCTTGTAGGATTTGGTCAAACCAAAGAATTTCATTCTTGCATGTCATTTGCTGACTTATTTCCAAGGAATTAGAGCTCAATCAGAGAAGCAGAACCATATAAATGATATAAAATACTTATAATAGGGATGAGATCTCACACAACTGTAGGACCTTGGTGAGAGTATAGGTAAGTCTGTTGCTTCTACGTCTAGTGCTGGTCCTGAAGTCAGCAAGGCCAGCAGTCTGGAAAGGAAGATTAATATGAAGTAGGGGAGAGAAAGGATAAATTGGAATCCACATCAGTCTCTCATTGCCTCCAAGCCTCCAACTCCAATGTTGGGATTTGCAGAATGCCTGGCTCATTTCATCCCAAAGCTGCTCACAAACTTGGCCCAGGATTCAAAGAGGCTAAAGAGAAGATCCAGTAGGAAGTGGAGGAACTAGGGGCCTGCAACTGCCCTGATGGACAAAGTGAGCCACAAGATCAGTGACTATGGGCAGACTGTCACAGCAGCTGCTTCCACACCTCCATCTCATTGTAAATGTGATGCTGCTTCACTTCCACCTTCACATCTGCACATTTTCTTGTGGGCAACTGTGATAGACAACCATGCAGAGAATGGAATTCTGGGAGATGAATTTCCAGCTTAACTAAGTTGATTTCATACAAGCCACCATATGCATGAATTAAATTATTCTCCTTATTCTTCCAATAATCTTATATTCAGTGCACTAGCCAAAGAGTTGGTAAGCTTGCTATTTTTTTTTTCTTTTAATTCTTAGGAAAGCCTAGAGAGGGAGCATATATGAGAAAAAGAGACATTTCATGAAACAAGTTAGCAGAGGCATTCACGGAAGGACACACTGATATGATGGTCACACAGTAACTTGAAGGAACAAACCTTTCTCATAAAACAAGGCACATCTCTACTGGAAATTGTAACTGCTGGACTAGAACAAAGTAATCTGAGCAGCTTGAATGCACCTTGTAAAAGGGCTTTTGTTCCATTCAGAAAATAACTTGAACCCTGGGAAAACCTGGATCAACCTGAGAGACAGAAAGAGGAAGGGGGAAGAGAGAAGAGAGAAGAGAGAGAGAGAATGAGTTTGAGAGTGAATTTTAGAGTGAAACATAGCACATTGTATGAGCTCCAGGTATAATAAAGCAGTCTCCCCTCGAAGGATTTTGATATGTAAACTGCAAAGCATTGATTAAATATATCATTTGGTCAATTTTCCCATGACAGTTTAGTTTGGTGCCCTTTGACTGGGACATTCCTTTTTCTTCCTTTAAAAAATTAAAAACAAGGCCTGGCGCGGTGGCTCACGCCTGTAATCCCAGCACTTTGGGAGGCCGAGGCAGGTGGATCACAAAGTGGGTGGATCATGAGGTCAAGAGATCGAGACCATCCTGTCAACATGGTGAAACCCCGTCTCTACTAAAAATACAAAAAATTAGCTGGGCATGGTGGTGCATGCCTGTAATCCCAGCTACTCGGGAGGCTGAGGCAGGAGAATTGCCTGAACCCAGGAGGCGGAGGTTGCGGCGAGCCGAGATCGCGCCATTGCACTCCAGCCTGGGTAACAAGAGCGAAACTCTGTCCCAAAAAAAAAAAAAAAAATTAAAAACAAAACAAAACAAAACAAAAAAACTAACATATACCTTTCACCTGGCTGAAGGCTTAACAAAACCTTGAAATACTTTCCTAGACCACAGTGCCAATGGAGTGGGAAATCTGGGCACAGGGCCTAAGTCCAGATGCTAGTTCTCCAAGAGCAGAAAAATAGACTAATATTATTAGCTGCATTTTCTTTTGGTGTTAAGTGAATAATGAAAAGGCTAAAGGACACAATGACCATCTGGGAAATAAAGAAGCCAGGTAGTGGCATGCCCTGTTGCAGGCAGAGAGAAGCATTTGAGTTTGCTATCGAGTTAAAGGAAGAATTTGTCTTGGTCTGTGAATCAGGCACAATCTGTTCACTAAGTTAGAGGTTGCAGAGTAGCTTACCCTCATGTGAGATAACACGTACCGGTGCTTGCCATTTTCACAATAGGCACGCAGTTGCTTTCTTGAGATGGTTTACTTGATTACACAAATTCTTCCTAATATTAGACCATAGGTTTTTTTTTTATTGTGGTAAAAAAATCAGGTAGCATTAAATTTACCATATTAGCCATTTTTTAAAAGTGTGTAGTTCAATAGCTTTGCAGTTTACCTCTCAAAAGCCTTCAAGGGGAGATTGCTCTATTGTAGCCTGGAGTGTGCTATGTTTTACTCTAAAATTGCTATGTTTTAGTGTGCTATGTTTTACTCTAAAATTCACCCTCAGACTCATTCTCTCTCTTCTCTTTTCCCCTTCCTCTTTCTTTCTCTCTCTCAAGTTGATCCAGGTTTTCCCAGGTTTCAATTTTCACCTGGCATAACTTGAGATTCACCCATGATGAGGCATGGGACAGAATTTCCTTCTTTTTAAAGGCTGAGTAATATTCCCTTGTGTATATACTCCACATTTTCTTTATTCATTCATCTGTTGATGGACATTTGGGTGGTTTCCACCTCTTGGTTCTGTGAATAATGCTACAATGAATGCAGATGTGCAACTACCTCTGGAGATGCTTTGAATTCTTTTGGATAATATCTAGAAGTGGAATTGTTGGATCACATAGTAATCTTGTTTTTAATTTTTTGAGAAGCCTCCATGTTTTTTTCCCACAATAATTGCACATTCTCACCAATAGTGCACAAGAGTTTCAATTTCTCCACATCCTCACCAACCCTTGTTATTTTATTCTTTTGATATTGGCTATCTTAATGGGTGTGAGGCAATGTCTCATTGCAGTTTTGATTTGCGTTTACTTGTAATTAGGGATGTTGAGCATCTTTTCATAGGACATAGGCATTTATAAGAACGAATACTTTGTACAAAATAATATGGGGAAGAATTAAGGTGGTAAGGTTGATGGTGAATCTTGTGACCATGGTAAGAACACATTTTCGTTTTAATGTGGGATTGTGTTTGAAACCTCTCACAGGGTTCAATCATTTTGTTCTGCCATTATGTGGCCATACTTGTACTTTCTGACTTGGTCCTCCATGAGAAGGTAAAATTTGAGTTTGTGAGTCATTAATTGTCAGGCTTAGAAAGAATTTAGTAGATCTTCTAATTGCAACATCTGCATTTTACAGTTGAGTAAACCGTGGATTAAAAAGTGAAAAAAAATTCAAGTGAGCAATATTTTGATATAAGGGGAAAATATTTCTAATTACTGAAAATTTTAATTTTTTCCTAGCTTCATTGACATATAATTGACAAAACTGTGTATATTTAAGATATAAAATGTTATAATTTTATATACATATGCATCGTGAAATGATTAT